GTCTTGTGTTGACCTGAGAAACTGGCGCTCCACCAGGGGTGCCTTCCTCAGGGTGACCCCAGTGCAGGGCTTTTTTCTCCTGCTTGCTCGTCCTGTGACAGCCATGAGAAGGGAGGGGCTGTGGCCAAATAGTTGAGGGTATTGCAGGGTTCCCAGGAGGGAATGATGGCTACCTTGGGGTGCTGGTGCTGTCTTGCAGGTGTCAATCATCCCCCGGGGAAAGGGGCTTGGCTATGCCCAGTACCTGCCCCGGGAGCAGTACCTGTACACGCGGGAGCAGCTCTTCGATCGCATGTGCATGATGCTGGGGGGCAGGGTTGCTGAGCAGCTCTTCTTTGGGAAGATCACCACAGGCGCCCAGGACGACCTGAGGAAGGTCACACAGAGCGCCTATGCACAGGTGTGGATGGGTGGGCGTCCCAGGTGGGGGGGACCTAGGTGACATCACAGGTGTGGGCAGGCATCATCGCAGGTCAGTTATGTGGGGCATCATAGGTACAGGTGTCATCCCAGATGTGGACATCTTCTTAGGTGTGGGTGTCACAGGTGTAGCCGGGCATCACAGGTGAGTGGTACAGGCTGCAGTCTTACCCAACTCTCTGGGACTTCCAGATTGTCCAGTTTGGAATGAGCGAGAAGCTGGGCCAGGTGTCCTTTGACCTCCCGCGGCAGGGCGAAGCCCTGGTGGAGAAGCCGTACAGTGAGGCCACAGCCCAGCTCATTGACGAGGAAGTTCGGTGCCTCATCAGTACTGCCCACACGCGGACCCTGGAGCTGCTGACGCGTTGCCGGGAGCAAGTGCAGAAGGCAAGTGGGCCAGCACTGGGCCGAGGGCCAGGTACTGGTCAAGTCACAGGACAAGTCACTGGCAGTGGGTCGGGTCAGCCCACTAGGCCCGCTCTCGTGGGACTTCTTGGCTTAGGGCTCCTGCCTGCTGTGGCAGTGGGCTGACGTGTGTGGTTCCAGGTGGGACAGCGACTCCTGGAGAAGGAGGTCCTGGAGAAGGCCGACATGGTCGAGCTGCTGGGCCCCCGGCCCTTTGCAGAGAAGTCTACCTACGAGGAGTTCGTGGAAGGCACTGGCAGCCTGGAGGAGGACACATCCCTCCCCGAGGGGCTGAAGGGCTGGAACCAGGAGCGGACAGAGGGGCAGGTGGAAGGCCAGGTGCAGGAGAGCCCTGCATAGCCCCCGACCTCTGCCACACACCCGAAACCTGTTCAAAGCCGTAGCCACTGAAACATATTAAATTTGTGGTAACTACATCAGTGTGTCCGATGAGGAGCTTAGCCCATGGGGACCCTGGTTCCTGAAATGCGCCCGTCACAGGGCCCAGGGCCTAGAATGAGGGGGAGTTCTGAACTCCTAACCTGTTCTTAGAAGGGTGAGGCACAGAGAGGGCATGGTTGGGACCAAGGGTCCTGGCCTGTGGGAGGACAGATCTGTGTGGCCTGGCAGGCTTTGCTTTCTCCAGAGCCCTGAGTGACATGACACTCTACACTCGGGAACATCCCGTGGGGGATTGGGCCTTGGATGTCTTGGTGTTGCCTCGTGTGTTTAGGGCAGCAGAGACCTTCAGGGTCTGGTGAGGCGGTCATGGGGGTTAAGGGGAGGGAGAGCAGCAGAAGGAAGGGGACATGTTGTAAGGTGGCCGTTAGCTCAGAGAAGTAGACGTGCAGTTGAGAGGAGGATGCTCGTCAGCCCAGCCGGTTGTGGCCTGTGCCTCTTCACACCCACTGAGTTTCACACCTGGGCCTGTGGTGGCACTCCTTGGGAAAACTGGCCATCCTCAGAGAGGGGTACCTTCCAGAGCAGGGAATGTCGGTGGGTGTTTGTTTCCTGTGACCCCTTTCCTTAGAGTCAGGCCTGGGCTGAACCTGAGCCCTCGGCCTCCAGCAGCCGTCGAGGAGGGTCTGCAGGGCTCTGAGGGGCAGGTGGTTCCACCCTGTATATCCAGCTCCCCTTCACTGCCCTCCTTGGTGAGAGGACTGCTGGGCACGCCCTAGGCCTTTTGTGGTGCTGAGATGCAGGCCTGGTAGGAAGTGCTGGGGACTGCTGTCTGATGGGGGCTGTCTGTAGGTGCTCCGGTTAAAGTGAGGTGTCCCCCACCATAGGAGGGAGGTCAGTGTGTCACGACTGCCTTTGGTGGGTGGTGCCCAGTCACCCAGACAGCACCGTGGCCCCTGGCTGTGCCATGGGACATCCTTGGGCAGGGGCTGAGGTGTGGGGGCTGCTCTGCACACACTCAGGTTACTCTCTGCTCTCCACTCCCACATGGTCACATTCACCATCCCACTTGCACTGTTGTTGGTCTTGGGGGCCCGGAGACCAGACACTGGGTCTGCTGCCTTAGCTTCCAAATAGTTTGTCACATTTGTGTCACAAACAAAAACAAAAATACCACACCCATTGCCATCAAGTCAGTGCCGACTCACAGTGACCCTCAATGGGTTTCTAAGGCTGTAAATCTTTATGGAAGTAGATTGCCTCACCTTTTGCCCATGGAGCAGCTGGTGGGTTTGAACTGCTAACCTTCTGGTTGGCAACCAAATGCTGTACCCATTATGCCACCAAAGCTCGTTAAGTTTGCCTAAGAGCCTCGGAGATACAGTTTCTAACTCGTGACAGTTGTAGCTTCTTTGCGTGAATTGCTGTGATGACGCCGGCTTTGCCGCTGTCCCACCAAACCCAGGCCAGCTGAGCACTGGGGGTCCTGCTGTGCTCCTGTCCCTGGTGCTCCCTCTGGTGAGGTGAGGGCTGTGCCTGCCCCGTGTGCTCACAGGGCCCCTTTCTGGCAGGTCCAGAGCCTAGCTTTGTCTCCAGGAGGAGGTGGTCGAGTGAGGGGCCTCTGTGTGGCATGCAGGAAGGGGGCAGCCAGGGGCTGCAGCCCCACATCTCAGAGGACCGTAAGGAACTAAATGCTTGGGAGTTCCCCAGGGGGCGAGTCCAGTCTCAGGCTTTAGCTGTGGGGTTGACCCTTTCGGGTGCAGCCTCCACTGTCCTCATTTCCAAGGACACCTTAGGTCATTCTGCACAGGGTGCCCCAGCCACACTGCCTTGGCCTTTCCTGGGTTGCTGCTCTAAGAGTATTCCCAAGACGCACACACACTCCAGACTCCCTGTCACATCTCCCTGTGTGAAGGCATGGTGCCAGAGAAGGAGGGAGTCCAGCCACCATCAGCCCCTGCCAGCTCTGTGGCCCCACCTTGACCCTGTGTCCAGTCGTGGCGTTGTCTTCCCACTGTGTACACGTGTACAGCACTGTTGCTGAGTAGCTGTGTAGGCTCAGTGCTTAATCTGCACCTGTGTTACCGCTTCCCAGCATCACGGCACAACTGGGAACTGCTCTGTCCTCAGGTGAGCAGTGTGGCTATGTGTGCAGCTGCTCAGGTGAGTGAGGGCCCTTGAGAGACGGGTCAGGGCAGCTTAGGCGTGCTTGGCTGTGCGGCTGCACACCCTGGGCTCTGGTTCTGGGTCAGCGCCTTCTTGCCTCCTTGAGGCAAGGTGGGTGCAGTGTTGCCGAGTGGCTCCTCCAGAACCTGTTACTTATTAGGTACCACCTGGCCAAGACTCCTCTCAGGGTCAGCCAGGCCTCTCTGCTCCTGGGGACTTGGCAGCGCACAGGAAACAACCAGCTAGCTTGTGTGGGGCGGGGCTCATAGCGTGCAGCACCTAGGGGCTTGTCCCCAAAGCGTGACCTGGATCAGTGCGGCTAGAGCAGTGTCCCTGGGGTTTCAGCAGCTGGAGAAAGGCCATGGGCCCTCACACACACCCCTCCTTGCCAGGAGACAGAGGCGCCACGGACAGGGTGACACTTTAATCCCACACATGTGAATTGACAGCAGAAGCTGCAGCAGGAGCGATGGAAGTGGGGAGGGGCGACCCTGGGTGGGGTTGGGGAGGTCACGTCACCAGGCCTGGCCAGGAATGGGGTCAGCCTTCTTGGCCTTTCTGGCAGCTGCACCCCCCTCACCTAAGGAAAGCAGAGGCCGCTTGCGGCCCCATGGTTGTTGAGCTTGGGTCTGAAGCTGGCCACGCAGCTGCAGTCAACTCCCAGGGCATAGCTGGGGTCAGCCAGGAGCCAGCACCCACCCCTGAAACCCTCTAATGGGAGCAGGGGAGGGACAGACAGCAAGCCCCCACTTGTATTTTATCCATCCTTTGACTGGAAGTTTGCTCTGTGCCGGCCAACACATAACACCACAGCCAGACCCTCAAATTGGGATGGGGTTCTTTTGGTCCTTCACAGGCCGGAATACCAGCCGTGGACAGACTTGCTGTGTGCATGCACATTGGTGGTGTGTGGCCAGCACGCTTGTGGCCCTCCTTTCACGGGCCGGGTGTGGGAAGTGACCCGCCAAGCCCTTTCTCCCCATCTAGCCATTGGGATGGGGGCCGCAGCTCCGAGGCAGTTGTGGTGTTATTTGGTGTTCTGAGTTATGTGGAGACAGCTTGGCCCTTGGCCTTGCTGGCAGGTTGCAGAGGGAGGGAAGGGGGTAGATGGGACCCTGGTGGCCTTCCTTGGCTCCCTCGACCCTGGGGAGAGGAAGAGTGGAAGGTGGGAGTTCCCAGGATGCCCCAGCATGTGGTTGGACACAGTGTGTCACAGAACTGGCACCCCAGGTTCACTGGAGTGTCTCATCGATCAGGCCCTCACCCCTGCCCACTCAGGAATCACTGACAAGAGCTTGGTCCTGCAGACGGAACTTTCCAGAATGCTGGCCCAGAGCTAGTGACTGACCCCAGCCTCACTGCCCATTTTCCTCCCTGGTCATTCTTGCCCCTGAACAGGGGTCTCTCCAGAGCTGGGGGTGCTGGGGGCAGAGCCATGGGTGTGGGCTGGCGGGCCCAGGTCAGAGCTGAGTAAGGCCACTGGGCTGGGCTTGTGCTTTGGAGACCCAGGGGAGCAGCTGGGCCAAGTGGGAGGACACAGGAGCCGGTACCCACGTCTCCTGTCTGGGTGTTTGCTTGGGGCCATTGCACCTCAGGGCAGGCAAGGCAGCCTAGTCCTCCTTAGGCCTGTCCACAGTGAGGAACGTTTCCACAGCAGGGGCAGCCGGTCGCTCCGGATCGTTGAGGGGTGGCTTCTCGCGGTTTTGTTCAGCCCTTGCCCGGGTCCACGACGGGGAGCGGAGGCAGCCGGCCCGGGGCAGTGGGTGCAGTCCTGGTGGGGACACATGGAGCAGGGGTCGGTGAGGCCCTCACTGAGGGTAGTGTGTGAGAGGGACCTGTTGGTGAGTATGTGTCACATGCACGTGTGTCCTGTGTGGGAGCCATGCATGAGTGCACATGTGTGTCCCACATGTACATCTGTGTATCCTGTGCATGGTGTCCTTCAGCCTGTCCCTGCCTTGGGTCTGTGTTTCTTCAGTCCTCTCCCCAGGGCACAGACTGTTGGGCTGAGGGCTGAGCTCCCACCCCCTCTGGCAGCCTAGCCACCTGAGGCTGGTCGGAGTTGGTGGGGTCCAGCCTGTGGGCTTGTCTTGAGGATGGGTGGGGGCTGCACCATCGTGCTTCCTCCTGCCAGCCCCACCCTTTGGGCCCTGACGCCACACAGACACCCTGCGAAGGGCTGAGGGACTGGGCGTTGCCACCCTTGGGGATACGCGGCTCCTTGGAGCTGGACCCTGTGACCTCACTGCCCACTGGGGTTCTGAGGCATGTTCAGGAGCCAGAGGTCACCAGGTCAGTGCTGAGATGGCAGAGGGAGGGGAGGGGCCACAGTGGTACATGCCCCCCAACTGTGCTGCCAAACATGGTGCCAGCTCACAGCTGGTGACCTCACGTCTGATGGCACCGACAGCCTTGGTTGCTCGTTAGAAAGGGAGCTGGGGAGGGTGGGTGACACAATGGGGTGTTCCTTAAAGTTGGCCCCCATCGATGTGTGAAATGCAAAAACAAGTGACATGGTCGAAACACTAGAACACACGTTTTCAAAAATAGGGATCTGGAGGGAGCAGCCTTTAAGAACAGTGACCAGAGTCACTGTGTCTGGTCCTCAGGATTTTCCAGCTGGCCTTGCTGTCCAACTCACAGCTCCCTGACAGCCCTCAGCCCTCTGACACCCTCACAGCCCCTGCAGCTCCCCGACGGCCCTCTGACACCCCCACAGCCCCTGCAGCTCCCCGACCCCCCACAGCCCTCTGACACCCCCACAGCCCCTGCAGCTCCCCGACCCCCCACGGCCCTCTGACACCCCCACAGCCCCTGCAGCTCCCCGACCCCCCACGGCCCTCTGACACCCCCACAGCCCCTGTAGCTCCCCGACACCCCACGGCCCTCTGACACCCCCACAGCCCCTATAGCTCCCCAACACCCCATGGTCCCCTTAACACCCCACAGCTCCTTGATGTCTCACGGTCCCCACCTGCTGGGGAGTCGTTGGCAAGGTTCTCGTCGTCTGAGTCAACGAAGACCTCAGCCAGCTCCTGGTCTGACATGTCGGTCAACTCTGTGAGGTCCAGGAGGTCAAAGTGCACCTCCAGAGAGGAGACGCTGCTCAGGGGCTCTGGGGGCGGAGGGTGGTGTGTTAGTGTGGTTACCTTTCTTCCCGTGAGGCCTGTTGCTGGGCACATGCTCCCAGCACTCAAGATTAAAGAGCCTCTGGAGGGCTAGAATTTCACAGATGGTGCAACTGAGGCCCAGAGCCACCCACTCCTTACCCCCTCCGAAATCCAACTTCTCCTGCCCTCCACACCCCAAGAGGTGGACCCGGGGTTGGCCATACTTACGCCTCCGCTCCGTGACCTGCAGGAGCCCCGGCGCCGGTATGGGGATGCCCACCTCCTCCTCGGCCACTGGTGTATGGCAGCCACCCGTTGTGCCATGGGCGGGGACACCCAGGGCAGCCAGGGGCACCTCCACCTCCTTGACGAGCTCTGAAAGCAAAGATACAGGCTGTCACCCTCGAGGGACACAGGTGTGCACACAGGAGGCACGGGAAGGGTTAGACCTGGGCGCTTTCAATGGTTCTGGGCAGTGCCCGGGGTGGCCAGCGATGGTCTTATGCTGGGACCTCTGACAAGGAGGCAGGAAGCTGTTTTTCTCGCCAGGAGGTAGCCTTGTTGTGGACAAGGAGGGACGCTGAGAGTCCTCCATCAGCACTGTCCCATCAGGACAGTGGCAGGGCCACCTGTAGGTGTCCCATCATCTCTCACTCTTCAGTCCAGAATGGCCCTGTTCTTCCGTGAAGGTGTAAAGCCGCCTCCTGCAGACTGACTGTTCCTCTTTAAAGGCCTTTTTTTGTTGCGTTTGAGTTCAAAATAAAATATTGTCCTGTGGACAAAGTTACCAAAACCAAAGAGGTGGAAAGCAGCAGGGCCCAACAGGATTAACTGGGATGAATTTGTTCAAAAATGGAACTGCTCTGTTTTTATACTTAGCTACAGGCACTTAATGGGGCTACACTGTCCTAAAGGGTCTCTGTGAGTCACAGTCAACTCTGTGACACTGGGGTTGGCTTGGTTTACAGGCACTTTCTTTCGGGCAAGAGGCAGGAAGCCCCTCTCCACCTCACACTCCACCAGGCTGCACATTCAGCATGGAGGAGCGTCCCCTCAAGGGTCGGGGGCCCACCTAGCCTGCCCCACCCATGACCCCTGACAGGAACACCAACTTCACACACTCTTCGGTCACCCTGGACCCCATTTTCCTCCATCACCTTTCTCCACTCACAACCCCTGTTGCCTCTTCTTGCACTTCTCACACCTTGGCTGCTACTGTACTGGTCCATGCCCTGTCACCTTCAATATCAAGGACCCCAGCGGCCCCTCTGCCCTGGCTGCCCCTTCTCCCTGGACCCTAGCCACAGACTCAAGTGCACCTCAGCAGGGCCTTCCCTGGCCTGGTCACAGTCCCAGTGGGGCAGGCCTCTGCTTTCTCTGCTGGCCCGGCCACAGGGCCCTCGACACCAGGAGCTGGGGGCAGGCACGTGACCCCTCACCAGGGTGTGAGTGTGTGCTGTGCACGTGAGAGCTGGTAGACTGGGCGGCTGGGGTAATTTTAGCAACCTGGGCTTGAGTGTGGAAAGCTGCCGAGGGGCCCGGAGACAGCTGCTGTCTGAGACTGGGCACCAGCAGGGCCTGTGGGGTGGGCGGTCCCTGAGCCGGCACGCGTCCCCTTGCGGAGCCGAGGCATCAGCTCTCCCTAGCCGTCCTGGCCAGGGAGGTGGCCTTCCCCCCTCCGTGATGGCTGTGTCACTGGTGGTTTGTCCCAGGCTAGGTGGCAGGCTGGATGGGGGCAAGTGGGAGAGCAGGGGATTCGGTTTCTGCTTCTATGCTGTCCTTTGGAGTGAGGTTTCTAGCAGTGGTGGGAGGGTAGAGTTACACCCACCAGCAAGGACGTCATCCCTAGAGGGCATGAAAGGTGTTATGCTGACCCCAAAGAGCCAGGCCAAGGTCGTCAGGTGGGGTGCCCCCGCTACAGCCCCAGGTCCTCACACAGCTGCCCCAGGGCCAGACTGCCCACAGGAAGAGAAGGAAGCCCCTGCGAGGTGGCCAGCAAGGGCAGCCACAAACCTTCCAGGTCCAGGGCTGAGTTGGGCAACGAAGGCACACTGCCCAGTGGGCACCCGTGCCCACAGCCCTGAGAAGATATGGGTGGGGAGGAGGCACAGAGGATGGCAAAACAGACTTCAACGTGGCACCTGCCCTGCCCAACTGCCTGACCCAGAGACTCTGCTCTGGGAAGCCCCGGCTAAGGAAGGCCAGATGACCACCCACTGGCCGTGGTCTGGCTGTACTGTATAGGTGCTGGTGCCCTGGCCTGCTGGGGTGCGGGCAGTGGAGGGCCTGGGAGATGACATTTGCCATCAAAGATACCAGACTTCTGGCTGGAAGAATATGACTGGAATTGGGAGCAGAGAGTCTACACATGAGGGGAAGATGGCATGTCCTGGGCCCCAGGGAGGGACAGAGGTGGTCTTGGCATGGAAAGATGGTGCAGCCATTTGGTGGTTTCTCAGAAAGATAACAGAAAGAATTTCCATATGATCTAGCAACACTTATCTCTAGTTGTATACCCAGAAGAAATGAAAACATGGGTCCACACAAAAATATGTCCGTGGATTTCTTAAGAGCATTATTCATAATAGTCAAAAAGTGGAAGCAACCCTGATGACACCAGCTGGTGACCACACAAAATGTAGTCCATCCCTGCAACGGAATATTATTCAGGCATAGAAAGGAATGACATTCTTGTGCACACTACAATGCAGTGAATCTTGGAAACGTGGAGTGAAGTAAGCCACATACTGCATGATTCCATTGATGTGAGATATCAGAACAGGCAAATCCATAGAGACAGGAAGTAGATTAGTGGTTTCCAGGGGCTGGGACAATGGGGCATGACTGCTAATAGATTTCTTCTTTGGATGATAGAAATGTTCTGGAACTAGGTGGGGGTTATAGAACTTTGTACTAAATGCCACTGAATTATACAATTTGAAGGGGTGAATCGTATCTCAAAAACCAACCAGCCAGCCTCAGTGGAAGCTGACAAACCAGCCAGTCAAGGCTGCTCCTGGCTGGAGGGTCAGCAGAGCCCACACCATCACAGTAGCCTGCTGGCTAGGACTGGGCATGAGCACCGTGGGCAGCACCAGCCCGTGACTCAACTGTGAGCCCAGCTCCATGCTAGGTCCTGGCCTGCAGTAGATGGGTGGGCAGGGTCTTGGAGCAGTTCATAAGTGGCTGTGCCAAGAATTACCTAGGCCTGTGTGACTCCTGAACCCTCTGAACAAGCACCAGAGAAGGGGGCTCTCCACCGGTGAGACCTAGCTGCTCCTGAGGCAGAGAGAAGATGGGGTGAGGGCACAGGTGTCAGGTGAGTTGTGATGCAGTCTCCACCTTTGGCATGGCTGCGAGCTCCCTCCTGGGCCATCCAGGACTGGGCATGGGGCCCAGGGCCTCAGCGGTGCCCTGGTTCCCAACCCCTGACCTGTGGGTTAGCATGATTGCCAGCACCTGACTGCAGAGATGAGTCGGGGTGCCATGGTACTGCCCCTCCCCCAGGCTGCTGGCAGGAGAGCTGTGGGTCCACTGGGCAGAGCTGTGCCAATTGGCTGGCCTATTTTCTAGCCCATTTGTGCCGGGGCCTGCACAGGGCAGACATGTATCTAGTGAAACAAGGCAGCAGGCGTGAACTCTAAATGAATGAAATGAATAAATGAATGAGCAAATACCATACAAAAACAAAGTGGCTGTGGGGAGGGGAGATGGTCAGAGGTGGGGGCAACTATATCCTGTTCCCCCAGCACCTTTATCCCACTGAGCAGCCCCTACACAGTGAATGTTTCAAGGATGCTGGGTGGCTAGCCAGCCTAGACTCGTAGCTGTCTGAGGGAAGGGCCCAGGTCCCTTACCGTCTTTCCCTGAGGTACCTCAGACTTGGCCTGGGGATTACTCTGTGGAGATGAGGTAGGACCCTGTTTTCCAAAAACACCAGTTGGGGTGCCCCCACCTCTGACATTCATTTTCTGCCCCTCCCGCTGGGCATGACTTCCACACTCTGCTCTCTCATTGCTTCCAGACTTCCCTTCCAGTGAGCGCCCACTGACACACAGCAGACACAACAGCAGGATATTAGTTAGGATCACATGACGTAAAGAAGGTGTGGAAATGCTGTTACAGCTCTGCTCTGTGAAGCCCTCACCTGGCAGAGGTAATTTCCAAAATATTGAGGGGTTCGCTGTTGTCTAGATTTGGAGGTGAGGTTGACAGGGGGGGGGGGGGGGGGGGGGGGGGGGGGGGGGGGGGGGGGGGGGCTTCAGTAGGACACTTATCTCTGTGTCTTACACTCCACAGCCTCCAAACAAAGAGGCCAAAAGTGAGAGGTCATTGTCACCTGGGTGCCAGCCCCCACATGACCTCAAGAGAGCCAGTGATGGAGGGAAGCCAGGAGTGGGAGCCCTATGGGGACAGAATGGCTGTCATAAATGACAAACTGAAGAAATCCAAGCCCACTTAGCCCTGGGTGTGTCTGGGGGTGCTCAGAGGGAGGATGACAAAGCCCCTGAGCAGCTGTCCCTGCTGTTCTCCAGGGCACAGCACCCCAGGCCGGTGCCTCAGGCCAGGACCTCTGCTCCCTGACATTTCTGCAAGGCCTCTGCAGGAGGCCAAGGTGTGTGACTCGGGGACAGTGGGGGGACCAGCAAGCCTGCATATGGCACCTGCTGGCTCGAGGATGGGGCCTGGCCAGCGGTGGAGGAACCAGGCAGTTGAGGTCCAGGTTCCTATGCGGTGGGGCACCGCGCAAACCCTCCTGAGAAGGCTGCCCTCATGAAGACGGGCTTTTCCTGGAGTTTCCTTCGCACCAGCCCCCACGCTGTCTGGGACCGACGCGGAGGGGCGAGCCCTGCAGTGGGGTCTCGCCTGCCGGTCCAGGAGCTGGCAGGGGTGCGAGGAGGGGCGCCGTGCACACCTGCCCTTCCGGACGTGCGCCCAGGGCCTCCCGAAGGCTGGCGTCCCAGCAGGCCGGAATCCCCCATGGCGGCCCCCCGTGCCCGGCAGGACCCGGGCCCGGCCTCCCGCCCCGCTCCGAGCCGCAGCGAACAAAGCGGACCCGCGTCACCCCCTCGCCTCACCATCCCGGACACTAAACCCGGCCGGGCCGTCTCCCTCCCCCACCCCGGTCCATACCCGACCCGGCGGAGAGGGGTCGGCATGAAGCCCCCGAGGGAGGGCGCGCCAGGCGGGCGGCGGGGGACCCGACCGGGGCGCGGAGCAGGGGGTGCAGGGTCGTCCCCCGGCGTGCCGCCCTCGGACAGCCCGCGCCTCGGCCGAGACAATCGCGCCAGGGGCTGCCGGCTCCGAGCTGCGGGCGGGTCCCTGCGGCCC